GGATTGTTGTACATTAAAAAAATAAAAATAAATAAGACCTACCCCGAAAATAAGACCTAGTGTGTTTTTTTGAGCCCAAACAAATATTACGCAGTGTCTTATTTTCAGGGAAACACGGTATCCATTGGGATTCCTCCTTTTCCTTGCAGTGAAATGGATATGGGATCTCCCTGCACAGGTGACAGATTCACTTTAAAAGATCATTACAAGTGAAAGGGCAGATAATCCGGCGATGAATCATTTAATACTCTTAACATACAAAACCTTCTCTACATAGCATGAAAGGAATCGTTTGTAAACTGCAACTGCCATTGTTTCCTTGTTGTCAGCAGTTCCATGAATGACAGATGTGGTTGCTGAATAATTCAGGCTATAAATACGAGCATCTTAGTACAATGTACACACGCTGCCTGCCCCCGGAGCTGACATCTATAGGCTGATTACTCATTTATACTCGCGCTCTGATATTATAGGGATATTATACGGTTACAGCAATCAGTGGGGACCGGAAGCACCTTCGTTACTCCGCTCCTTCCACTCGGAAATCATTTTTTAGCTCTGAACAATTCTTATACTTCGTATAAAAATAACAAAAAAGGAAATTACTATTATTATTTGTTCAAGGGCTTGCTCACACCATGTTGGTCAATGCAATTCTAATGCATGGACAAGGCAAAAAGTCTTCATACCAATGTGCTGTGTTGATTCGAATGTTTTCAGCCGCAGTGATGATGAAAGAAATGTTCGTGAGCAAACGAAATTCTAATACTGAACGTGATTTTCCTTTCGGGAAAACTCATTCCAAAATCGATTGTTAAAATCAAATGAAATTTTGATGCTTTATCGAATGTTCTGACCAGATTTTACATATGAACATGCATCGGAGAATCTCCCAGTGTATGTCGAGCTTAAAGCAAAACTCCAGTTAAAATTTGTATTAACCCTTGCAGTGGGACTACCACCGCATTCTCATTTTTGTCCAGGAAAATAATAACAAAGTTATACTCACCCGATCCTCCAAGCCAGCAGCGCTCCCTCCCGTCTGTCTCCTCCTCCACTGCAGTCCTATACACTGTGTATAGAATGTGATGACTCAGGGACCTTAGACCGCTGCAGAGGAGGGGGAGCGAGGCTGAAAGGACCGGTCTAAGAACAAGCTGGCTCAGAGGATCGGGTGAGTATAACTTTGTTATTATTTTACCTAGACAAAAAAGGATCATTTAACCCTTGCAGTGCAGGGGTAGCCCCATTGTAAGGGTTAATACAAATTTGACCCAGAGTTCTGTTTTAACAATCAATTTCTCTTATTTGTTGGCGTTTATTGGCCAGTTAAATATGCCATTGAAAGAGCTTTTGTTATATCTGTTTTTGTTATATCTGATAAGTGAATAAATACCCGTTGATCCTTTCAAAAATCTTACCAATCAATAACTTCCTGCGCTCTCTGACTCAGCTGACTGTAAGGCCTCATTCACACTGCTAAGAGCCGGCCCATACAGAACCATGCGGCGTATCGGGCCGCTCCCAGGAAGGACAGGTGCTGCGTGTGATTTTATGCAGCAGCCTGTTCTTCTCTATGGGAGGACGCGGCCGTACGCCGCCCTACGCTCACCAGAACTACACATCCGTGCGGGTGCAGGTTTCCCATGGCAACTAGTCGGGATTCATTCAGTGTGAAAAAGAGACAAGAAATATTATAAAAGAATGAGTGCAGGCAAATGAAAATAATGGGCTACAGCTGCCATTTGCAGCGTGGTGACTGTGCATGGTATATGGCTGTATTGAGCACGGCGGGGCTCCATAATAATCAGTAGTAAATCATTGATAAAAAGGCAAATATCTCAAAGTGATCTGTCCAGTGAATGTAACGCTGACTATGGTAGAAATAGGACAAATGTCACTGAGACCCGGACCTCTCAATGGAGAATGGGGGATCCAGAAAATGGAGAAAACAGCAGCCATTGGGTATGTGAGTTATAAATGCTGGGACTCCTCTAATGGGTATAATATTAGCAGTGTTTGGCAAATATTTACCAACTCATTACCAGTTTTCTATAACCAACAATCAATTTATATAAAACACCTAATTAGCCTTACTAGCAAAAGCTCCAGTTTGTAATTTTGTATTAATCAGCTGCAATATCCACCCTGAATTTCAATGCCAATAAATTACTATCCGTTCACTTGTGTGCTGGATGTTGTGGTTCCACAGCTGCTAACAAATATTATATTCCTGTTTAAATATAAAAATCATTATGTGGATAAACTTCAGTGCCAATGGATGTGTCCTAGGTAGAGCTGTGCTTTACATGACGTGGGCGAGTGTTGGGACTTGTAGTCCCACGTGAAAAGTGAGCCACAACATCCTTCCCAATTCTGGATGCTGCTTAATGTATATAGAAAAAAAAACACCTAATTATAATTCTGGACGTCATGCTGCAACTTCCACATTTCCTAATTATCTTCTGTTATTCCTGGTACTAATTTATATAACATTGATGCTTCTCATTCAGCAATTTAGATAGAACATTAAACGTTCACATTAGTCCTTGAGGATGAAGAAGCTTACAGCTTAGTGCCCCTGACACACAGTTGGGTCCAAGTACATTTGGAAGCTACTTCCCCTACAAATATATTTTAGGGCGATGGAGAAAACCTTGCAAATGCAAGCAGAACAAACCAACTACATGCAGATAATGTCCTGTGCTTGGTGGGGTTTGAACTGAGGAGCCAGTACAGCAAGGCAACCTAGTGACTTAGCCATCATTGTAGCCTAGTTACCTCTTCTCAAGAGTCTTATTGAAGTATAACAGGAAAGACATGCTGGAACTCACAGTTCTACATTTCCTAATTATCTTCTGCTACAATACTTATTTATATAACATTGATGCTTCTCCCGCAGCAAATTAGGTAGAGCATTGACCTGTTCTCATTAGTCCCTGATGTCAAAGGAGCTTACAGCTTAGTGTCCCTGACACACAGGAGGGGCCAAGTACTAATTGAAGCTATTTCGCCTACAAGTATATATTTGGGTTTTAGAGAAAATCTCGCAAATGCAAGAAGAACAAATCAGCTACATGCAGAGAATGTCCTGTCCTTGGTGGGGTCTGAATTGAGGACCCAGTACAGCACGGCAACCGTTCTAGTAGGGCTGCAGCTAACGATTATTGATTAACTGTTGCAGCTCTACGTTCTAGTGACTTAGCCATCATTGAGAATAAGACTCTTCTGAAGAGCCTTATTAAAGTATGCCAGGGAAGTCACGCTGGAACTCGCAGTTCTACATTTCCTAATTATCTTCTTCTACAATACTAATTGATATAGCACTGATGCTTCTCCTGCAGCAAATTAGGTAGAATATTGACCTGTTATCATTAGTCCCCGACACTGAAGGAGCATACAGCTCAATGTCCCTGACACACAGAAGGGCCAAGTACAGGTGGAAGCTACTTAACCTACAAGTATATATTTGGGCTTTGGAGAAAATCTCACAAATGCGAGAAGAACGAATCAACTACAAACAGATAATATCCTGTTCTTGGTGGGGTCTGAACTGAGGACCCAGTACAGCAAGGCAACAGTTTTAGTGACTTAGCCTATTTACCGCTTATGAAGAGCTTTATTGCAGTATGCCAATATGCCATGGAGGTCATGTTTGAGCTCACACTTCCATATTTCCAAATTATCTTCTGTTACAGTACTAATTTATATAGCACTGATGCTTCTCCCACAGCAGTTTTGGTAGAACATTGACCCATTCACATCAGTCCCCTGGGACAAAGGAGCTTACAGCTTAGTCCCTCTGACACACAGTGGGGCCAAGTACATGTGGAAGCTACTTACTCTACAAATATATTTTTGGGCTAAGAAGAAAACTTTGCAAAGGCAAACAGAGCAAACAATCTACATACATATAACGTCCTGTCCTTGGTGGGGACAGAACTGAGGACCCCAGTACAGCACGGCAGTAGTGACTTCCATAATTCTAGCCTAGGTACCTCTTAATACGAGCCTTACTTAAATATTCCAATATATACCACCTCAATACAAACATATCCTATACTGGCTTTCAGAAACTGTATCTCCATGGTTTCCAACAATCCACAAGTTTTCAGCAATTAAAAATATCTCCATAAACTCGGTCGTTACCCCGTTCTTGACCTATTCTTTTCCGTAGTTCATCAGAAGATCACTTTGCTTCCTCACATTATCAAGTGATATAGAAAATAGCTGTTTCCCATTTAAAACATTCCTCTTTAATAAATGTAAAACAAAACCCATATACATCCCTTAAAAAAAAACAAAGAAAATGGAATATTACTATTATTATGAATATTATTATTATTATTATTATTTAGGATTTGTATGGCACCAACCCAACAGGTGGTGCAGCACTTTTTAAAATAAAATGGAAACAGTGCAGTTTCAATACAACTCAAAGCTGAGAAAGATGATTAGGAGGGTCTTGATCATGAGAGCTTACAATCTAAAAAGATAGTGAACAGCAAACCTATCGTGAAAAAGAAATTATTTTCATACATCACTGTCCACCGAGTAATCTCCAAAATTTCCATGGCCAAAAAAATTCCAGGTACAACTTTTTAAAACCCAGAAACATCCCTAGAAATAGGAGGCATATACCACTTCTTGGGCTTACAGGTGTTGGCAACCTTGACACGCGTGCTGTAGAACTGAAAATCCCATCATCTCCCTGCCTCTGGGAGTCATGCATGATGTGGCTGTAATGCTCTGGGAGTTGTAGTTCCACAACTGCTGGAGTGCCAAGGTTGCCTACCCCTGGCTTACACAGCGGAAGCATCAAAATTGCCAAGCAACGTCACACATGCCGACTAATCAGACACCTTGTCTTAAATGACCTACCGCCAGCGCACTGACATGCGGTTGCTCTGGGTTACTGTACATCGCCACTGCACAGTTAGAAGCAAATAGGCAGCCCTTAGGTAAAATATGGGTTAAAAAATGAATTTAAAGGGACTTACCTGATATGAGGATGAAAATTGAGCACTTTAGAAAGCGTCGTGTGCAAGAGAGGCGCTCCATAGAAGCATCCTGTCTGTGACTTCAGCTCCTGAGTGACTCCTGGAGATGACAGCTGCTGCTGCTGAAGGATTTGCCAGGCAAATCAGCAGAGAGCTGACAGACTCCAGCCTGCCTCTTCCCTTAGGTGATTTGAATGTGCATACAGAGACTATAGGGGAAGGAACACCTGCTAGATGACTGTTTACCCTGCACTGGCTGGGCCAGCTAATAGGGACTATTATGTGTTCCACACAAGGCTCCCTGGATGAAACCAGCCCACGGCCACCAGGGGTTGCTTAGACTCAGCCTGGCAGGATTCCTCCCCGCTCATCCAAACGTCGCTGCTTTATCGACAGTGTAAATGAGCTGCCAGGGAACAATTTGGGACACACTTATTTATTATTTCCAGATCGTTTGCTTTTATTTTTTTCATCGCCAGCCAGATACGGCCCCCTCCTTTCCAGTCACACAGTCACATTCGCTGATTTTATAAATAACTTGAGTTACATTCGCTGACATGACCACTTTTCTTTCTTTATTAATATGGGCAGTTATATAGCACATTGCTTATAGTACATTCACACCAGTCCCTGCCCTCAAGGAGCCTAAGCTGGCCATACACTATTATATTTTTTTTACGCAGGGGCAGATGCATTTTGAGAGTCGTTCCTGATATGTAATACATAGCAATTCCTACCTTTCATTCTGACCACTGGCAAGTGTAGTTAATAGAGTTGAGGGGACCACCAGTAGGGTTAGAGAAGCTGGATGCAAGGGCTTTGTCCTAAAAACTTTGTTCTGACTGTATTTAGGATCATTGTTGGAGGGAACCTTCACCCTAGTCTCATGCCACTTGCAGCCAGGTTTTCCTCAAGAATTTATCGGTATTTAATTCCATCCATCCTGCCCTCAATACTGAGTTTCTTAAAGTGACACTAAACTCAGGAGTTAAACACTAAAAATACATTCAAGAACTTTAACTATTAACAAAAATGTATCTTATTTGTGTGTCACTCGGCTGTAGATCCTCAAATCATCTCTGAATTGGTGCTGACACTGTCCTTCCTTCTGGAGGGGGGCTACTTTTCTTCCCCACGTTCCCTGTGTGTGTTGTGAAGTAGCCACCCCTCCAAGCTTGATCCCGTGATGGACTACAATCTCCATACATATTAGTAAACTAAACATGATATTGTAGTCCATCACAGGAGCGAGCTTGGAGCGGTGACTACCTTGCAACACACACAGGGACCATGGGGAACAAAAGTAGCCCCCCTCCAGAAGGAAGGACAGTGTCAGCACCAATTCAGAGATGATTTGAGGATCTACAGCCAGGTGATACACAAATAAGATACATTGTTGTTAATAGTTGAGGTACCTGAATGTTTTTTTAAGATTTAACTCCTGAGTTTAGCGTCACTTTAAGCTTGCCATAGAGTGGTAGCTTTTTGCATGAACATTCATATAAAAAATCTCATAAGAACATTTGGTAATGCCATCAGAGATTTGATGAAGGTTGTTCAAAATGTTATTTGGTTTTAACATTTAATTTGGAAATTAATGGAGTTTCCCAAACAAAAACCACATTCACTGTTAGATGTTTGTTCATTCGAGAAAACAAATTCCATTCTGCTCCTTACCCAATTTTGTTTGTCACTACGGTGGAAATCAATCATCATTTTGACCACATTAAGTATTACAAAACAGATCAAAGGAAATTCTACTGCTGTATGGTCAGCTTAACAGATTCCTCTATCCATTCTAGGCAGCTAGGATGGACGCATATGAGACTGTGGCTATTGGATTGCCAGTTGATTGGCTGGAGTCACCATTAGGCTGAGAATTTTCGTCCCGGATCGAAAAAAATAATAATTTTGTCAAACTGAGGGGTGACAATGTGGCCACACACTACTCGAATTTTAGCCAGTTCAGCAGTGTATGGACAGCTTACATTCTAAGGTTTCAATCTCACATGCACACACATACTAGGGCAAATTTAGACAGGAGCCAAGTAACCTACCAGCATTAGAGTGTGGAAGGAAGCTGGAGTACCCATAGGAAACCCATGCAAGCACAGGAAGAAACTCCATGCAAATAGTGTCCTGGCTGTGCTTAAGTATTGCTCACTTTTGGTAGCCAAAAAGAATGCAGAGGAAGCAGAAACCGATTACATGCAGCAGGTGGGGCTGACATTAAAGGGAACCCATTTCCCACTTTAGGACCACTACAGATAGCAGAAGTCAGTTGGACGCAAAAGGTGAAATTTGACCACTCTCAGGCATCTAGGTGTTCCAGTGCATCCATAAATCTAAGAAGCATCAGATAGACAGATATAGAGTGGGGACCATTTAGGCAGTTTCTGTCACACTTACCACAAACATCTGGGTTGTCACTTGACAGCAGCTTTGCTCTCTGCAATCTTTTATATGTTAGTGCGATCTTAGTCCATTTCCCATTAAAGACAAAATAAATCTTTGTTGGTGTGGGTAAGCTCTCAACATAATCTGCAATGCACAGCACACTTCTTCCCCTGTCCCACGGGCATCCTCTTTGACCATTGGACAGCCACTGATGATGTCCCTCCTGCACATGTAGCACCTAACAGAGGTGGAAGGTACAGTGCATTGCGAATGTTCCATGCAGTGTACACAAACCAGAAGAAAATTGCCAGGAGTCCGGAAAAAGTATTTTTGGCAAAAAAGACTTTGTGTCTCTTCTGCCAAAAAACTTCACCTCCTGGTGATCTTTTTGTTTGCGGAATTTTAGTTCTGCTTTACTAAAGGGATAATAACTATGTACATTATTAGGGATTTCCACCATCCCTGTGCTGTGTTCCCATGTCTGCACACCTGCTGTGCCCATTATGATGGGCTCCTACCATCTCTGCACTTAGCTCCTGGGTCTGCACACCTGCTGTGCCAATTATAAGGTGCTCTCACATCCCAGTCCTGAGTTCCTGGGTCTGCACACCTTATGTGTCCATTATGAGTGGCTCCCACCATCTCTGCACTTATCTCCTGGGTCTGCACATCTGTTGTGCCCATTATGAGGAGCTCTCACCATCCCAGACCTGATTTCCTGGGTCTGCACACAGAATGTGTCCATTCTGAGGAGCTCCCACCGTCCCTGTTGGATTTTCACTAATTTTACAGAATGGAAACTATAAAACAGTAGCAGGATCAATCATACTGTATCTGTAAACTGAGACTACAAGGTAGGTAGGATTAGATCCAGGAACATCGGAGAGACTGCATCACTGAAAAGTTCAACAGTTATAATAAGCTAGATAGAGGCCTGTCCCTAGAAATGAGGGACGTTTGCACTTACATCAGCAACGATGCAGATCACCCACATGTTGTGTACAGTGGTAGAACACAGGAGATTACACAATGTACAGACATACATTAACACATGAATACAGCAGGCAGATGAGGGATTAGCATATGACTGGAGGCTACATATGTACACATCACTCACTTGGTATAGTACAACAGACTAGTTGGGGGGGTTTTCTTACGCAAAGATGTCAAAGCATCTGTCACATGACATCAGCAATTGACAGCTGTGTGGGGGCTTTATATAGAACCTTTAGTAGGTCAACAACTAAAGGTAGACATGATAGAACGGTCAGCCACTGTTTTCCAAATGTCTTGATGGTGGGCTTCCTAGTAAACATGAATGCTCAGAAGATAGGGAGAGTAGAAGGAAGATATGGACAGAGTGTTCTGGCGCCCCCTATTTTAGTGTAAAAAAATAGCTATAGAACTAGGTTTTCCCATCATTGCAAATGCACGTGCAGCATATCTAAACCCAAGAGCATAAATGTTATGTATTGCCATTTACCAGCCCTTAGATGTGGTGACTTTCTTTAATTTTCACTTGGTGATCCCTGCAATAACACACTTCTTGCCCTGGGGGACAAGGATGGAACAATTTTAGGCTAGGGATGATCAGATACCAGTGCCGATACTTGGCATTTTCACGAGAACTACCAGGGTTGCAGCTGGGACCTGGCTCTGGCGCTCCACCACTGTCCTGAAATCATTAGTCTGTATTGTTTTAGAAAAATTGTCACATGACAATAAACAAAAATGTATCAGTACTTGTATCTGTGAGTACTTGGGCAAGTATCAGTACTCGTACTCGCAAAACTGGTATCTATGCATCACATATTTATTTATATAAAAAAAAAAGATCTTACATGAAAAACAAGGATACAGAAATCCCAGGAGCTCCGTGTGCTCTTTAACAATGATAGCGGCCTCCTAACTATTGATTTTTTTTCTAGTCTAGTCTTGGAGCTGGAAAACTATCTGTACATGTACTTGTACCGAGTACGGTTCTTGGTATCTGAACATCCCTATTTTAGGCTAAGTTCAAATCGTTGTATTATAGCGTTTTGTATGTCCACTCCCATTGACCCCTGAACCTAAATTGGAGATATCTATCTATCTATCTATCTATCTATCTATCTATCTATTAGATTTGGCCATCACCAGTCTAGAGGTGTGAATAGTGAAGTCTATAAAAACTATGATTTTAAATACATTTTTAAATACATTTTTAAAGTAAAGAAAAATATTATTTTAAACAAAGAAAAAAGTAAATAAAAACTATCATTAAAAAAAAATATTTTGTTATTAAAAAGCAGTTGTTGAGCCCCAGACTCCTGACAATGCATAGGCCATCTGTGAAAAAAAAGTGGTCAGACTCCTGCTAGCCTCCCCTCCCAAATGATTAATCAGAAGATACATCACAATTATGTAGCATGCCATAAGGTTAAAGTGTAAGTGTAAGTAAACCCAGGTAGCACAGATTAGGGGTAGCAGATAGTCCGATGATTGTTCACCAATATGACACAATGGAGGGAATTTATCGAGACTGAAGCAGACAAAATTTGGGGCAGATTTGCACTGCAACCAATCATTTTCAAATCTTACCTGCGCAAACTGAAGAAAGATGCTGATTGGTTGCCATGGGCAACTGCTCCAGAGTCAGTCTGCTCCAGTTTTGATAAATTCCCCCCAATATACATAAATGGCTTTATAGACTTACATACGGTGATAGATGGAAATGTGTTGCTAAGATCCACTCGAGTTTGCCATTCACTGTTTGGGAGTAGCCTTTTAGACCAACATACATTTTTTTTTAATCTTGTATATAGGTTTTGGAATATTTGCTAAGGAAGACTTTCCTATTAAACCTTGAAGTTGT